TAATATATGAAAGGGTCTGACCTTTCGATTTGACTATTGTATGTCTCTGAGATGCGGCGTTTTTTTGTAAATATTTACATATATTGGGAACATAATTCAAAAATCGAGTATATGTTAAACTCAATAAAGTATTTTAAAATTCGAAGTGACAGAAACAGATCATAAAGTGTTATCAAATTAACCAATTAAATTCAAAGGTACGACTAAGTTATTATTTTACTATAAAATTTCTCAATGTTATATCAATCATGTTTCATGTTATAACTTACTTAAAAGGCTTTCTTCGTCACTCCATTTATACAGAAGAATTTATATAGGTTTTCTAATATATCAAGGCTTATGTTTTTCATTTTGATACATAGGCCTTTGTGTTATATTTATATATATATATATTTATATATATCATATATATTATTATAACAATAATTTATATAAGCAACCAGAGACAAAAATATAAATATACTATTTAAATTTGAACCTTAAAGAAGTATTTAAATAATTTCCGATATTCCCTTCATGAACTCTAAAATATACTCAATTGAGTTTTGATACTGGTCCATTGCTCCTATTCTTTTTCAAACCATAAAACTATCATCATTGTTCTAAGCACTGTCCTAAGCATGAATAACATCGTTATAAACATTAATATCGACAATACAAAAACGTTAAAAGTAAAATATTTAGAACCACCCGGTTATACATTTAATAATGTTATGACGGTGGCTCTGTATTGACGGTGGCTCTGTTGACGATGCAACCCAAACATAACCCAAAGACCTTAAGTCTTCAACCTTTATGAAGTTGAATAGTAACCATATTTACAATGTCAATGGGAAATCAATATTATTCTTGTAATTAGAAACGTATCTTATAAGGTTTATATAAGGACTTATAAAGATAATAAATCCAATCCAACCTATCGGAATAGATTTATGATATATGTATCTATATATGATGTATTGAATATTTGTATATTAATATATTGAAAATATGAAACTTCAATCTTCTCATTAAAACACGGTATTTTAATTTATCCGAATTAACTATGGACTTTTTAAGACAACTGGAGACACGATAGTCCTAATATTTCCCGATGCCTAATCATAAACACAATATCCGAATAGCTATGATATAATAAAAAAGAAATAGAGAAGAATTGTGATTCTATATTAACAGTGGGTGTGTGACTATAGTTAACACAATCTGTCCCCGTTGTGTATTTGTGTAATATCTTACTAAAGAATATATCATATAGATTTATAATATACTAACATAGATAAGTTTTTAGTACGATTTTATTCGAACATTCGTATTTACCTATGTTACCGTGGAATGTGGACCTTACGTTGGGGAACACTGCTTTAAAGTGTTTGCAAGTTCATATTTTATAATTATAAAAATAATTTATTACTTGAAAATAAAATAAATGTTGTATTTTCAGTTCTATGTTTTGTATGTAATTTAAAAATATAGAAAAAAATATCTATTCAAACCAGTTTTAGTACAATTTGAACGTGTCTTGAATTAAAAGTAAAAACATTAATAGATTTAAATGAACAAGTTTGTTAATGGAAACTACAACATTTGTATCAAAGTGATTAAAATTCATAATGTATCACTACATTTTTAAACATTTTTTATATAAGTAGAAAATGTTACTAATGTTGAAACTATTGTTATAATATCTCTCTTTTTTGTATTTATATCTAACTTATTCACTTGCCCAAGTAGTTATTGGTCACTTACGTTAAACTTACGATAACGATATTTTCGATAAGACCTATTCCATTTTTTTTTTTTTTTCATTTTAAAGAGAATAGCAAATATCTAGTAATTAACTATTTTGATATCTACGAGTATATATGGTCCTATAATTTTGTCTAGTATTAAATCATACGGTTAAAATCTTTAAAATGTAGAATATTTTATTTCCATTTTAATGTAAATTAAATAATTTAATATTTATAACATATTAACTATATATCTTACAATTTCGGTTTTGCTGAATAATTTTATAAAAAATTAAAAAATAAACTTTTGCAATAATATTTTACTTTTGAAAATTTTTATATTAAGTTTTTGTGCAGAAAGTTTTTTCGTTTCTTGTTAAGTGCAGTAAGCTGACACTTTGACTGATTTCTTTGTAATATTAAAAATATTTATTCAAGCATTTCTTATGTTACTGGCATTTTTTTACAAACATTATAAGATAATTATTTGTTAAATTTTTTTATTGAATTTTTTTATGAATTTTCTTCGTATTTTTAGTGTGGTTTCAATACTGGAGTATTGAGTGCTTTTATTCTTAAAAGTTTTTTACTTAAGTGCAACTAATTAGCTCTTTACTGCACATCTAATTTGGTTAAACAGACGGACAAGATTCTTATGTATGAATGCAGACATGAATTCTCATTGGAATTCTCATTTGTCTGTGAATAAAAATTAATATTGTTAGTTAAAAAATAAGAGTGTATGATAAGATCAAGTCAAAGCATAATCATTGTAGAGGCTGGATGAGCTGGTTTCCCTTTTCCCTACTTACAGTGCAGTTAGCTGATACTTGGACTGTTGTTTATTTCTTAGTATACATAGGAACTATGTTGATTACTTATGACATGCGTGATGTCTGCTTTTTTTTGCTATTTTTGGTATAAATAGTTATTATGAATATGTAGTCTGAATATGTTGAAATGTCACTATCAAATACATATAAAAATTTTCAAAATAAAAAAAAAATTTTTTGTTTTATATTGGATGAAAATAATGCATCTGATTACAATTTTTTTATGTTATTCGACAAACAGTACTTAAACAGAAAGAGGCAAATAATAAGAAAAATTATAAATAATTCCAGTTTTCAATGATGTGTATTTTTGGTTGTCCATGCAACTGTTTCTAATATTTCTTAATATTTTTAATTAAAAGTTTTTGGAAATTCGTTTTGAATTCAATTGTCTGTACTTATTTTCAGTTTAATATCAATAGGAAATAAAAATAGAAGAAATGCGTTTCAAACTGGAGACTGTTGTAATTCTTAGCGCTTAACCTTTAACCAATCCTTAAAATGACAGAATTAATACTTTTCGATCTAAATTCTAAATTTTATGAATCAGTAAAGCTTTAAAAATGATATGCCTTAAATATTGTCTGTGATATACTTATTTTATGCGCTATCGGCTGACCAAACCTCCTTTGAATTGGAACCAAAACACATAGGTATATTTTATCATTAAGGCCTCATTCATTTCCTGACATACCTGCCTACATATTTTGTGTGGAGATGGATGTTGCAGCCATAAAAATGTATAAAAAAATTAATTTTCTTTCAAATATTTCGTACTTTCATATCGTGTATATTTATTGCACCGGAATTTCAGCGAATCGGTAGTAATCGCAAATAATGGAAAAAAATTTTTTTGATACTCATAAAAATTTTTGTTAAAGAAAAATTCATCTAAATATCTGTAAGGATTCTGAAAATACCTAATTTTGACCGGCTAGTCTTAATTCTACCACACTTTACGACTCCACCATTACACTAATGGAAACCTCTCTAATAAGTTCTTCTGCATATCACAAAAATGTAATTATTTTATATAAGTAAAGCTTTTTAATTGCTTTTCATTAAAACATAATGTACCAAGACATTCAGGTGCTTTTAATTATAGTTAATTTACTTGAACCTGTAGTTTTCGATTGGGATTGGGAAGGGTTGTTAGATATATTGGTTTTAAGTTATCTGAATTTTAAGGAACAAATGTATCATTAAGGTCTTTGTGTTGTTAGAAAATAATGAAATTATTTGAAAAAAAAGATAAAATTCTAATACTTAGATAGGTTAACAACAATTGCAGTCAACTGTCAGCTAAATGCCACATGTTAATAACCCAATAAGGCGCCATTCATTCTATTGGCACTGGATTATCACGCAGCAAATGACACGTTTTGACAAATTTTTATCTCTGTTTATCTCGGTGGAAAAAACTAGGAAGCATAAATGAGAAACACATATCATAATATATATAATTTAGTTATGAATCTGCAATTGTATATTTAATTCGACAAAATTAGAAAATTACTTTAACTTAACAGACGTGAATTAAGAGATTTTAAACACAATTGTTTATATGTTAGTTACTTGAGTGTCAAACATGTTAAATTGCTAGTAAACAAAATACTAAATAACAGGTCTTATTGTAAAGATTTTATTGTCTAATTAAGTGATAATTAGAAAACACGGTCAGAAATTATACGCAGAAGTTATAAATAAGTCATTGAACTTAAAAGAACTATTTATAAATGGCACAAGTCCTGTTTTATTAAGCTTTATTATTTTACACTATATTCACATTATATATAAAATAGTTTAGTTAACACTATAGTATGTTTACCCGTGCATAGATACTCATGAGTGATGGTAGTAGTTGTTTTTAGATTCTTATGACAAGCAGTTGCGAACATTCTCATAACTTAAACTTTGCATTCCTCATCGGTTCACATGTCACCTTTGCTGTGTACTTCACACTTGCTGCTTATACCCCGTTTTTTATATAGATAATAGACGCAATTGCCTGTATATCAAAAGGTATTTTCAGCAGTTAGAAATCTTATCAATTCTGTGTCCATGTTTTTTCTTTTTTGAATGATAAGCGAAATGCGTTGTTGTTGCATTCAATTTATTTGTATTTTATCGGAAACAAAACAGAACAAATTATTCTCTCAAATATTTTTAATTCAATATTTTTGTTTCTATTGCAAATTTCACAGTTGTTTAGTTCATTACAAAGAGATAAATATAAAAAGTTACACATAGTTTTAATAAAAAAAAATACTATATATAAAAATTTATATTTAGAATTGTAAAAAGTACTAGTGAACTAAATAAGCTTTACGTTTACAAACACAGGAGGAGGTATACAATTTTATTTTTCATTTATTATAAATATACGAATATTTTTCTTTATTTAAAATCATTGATCAACTTTTTCCCTTTGTTTCAGTTACTTTAATATTAATGAAAGAATTTGAATTAAAGCCAAAATGAACTCTGCGAAAGAAGCAAAGAGTGTCGCCAAAGCTCAGAAGAAAACACAAAAAGCCAATAAGAAACAGCTCCAACAAGCTGAAAAAAATGGTAAAAATGCAAAAAGTTCAGTTGCGAATGGATCGAAGGACATTAATTATGGAGTCAATAAGTTGACAGGGAAAACAAATAAAATTCCAACAACACAAATTGCCATTAATAACAACAATAACAACAATACACAAAGCAACAATAATAACATTGCACAAAGACTTAAAGATCATTACGAGGCTGAGAAAAAAGCAGCGTCTGCCGTTAACGGAACGACTTCATCATTACCACCACGTGCCATTATTTCAGACTATGATAATGCTCCAAAATTTGAGCGCTCAAATAGTTTCTCACTACGAAACAAATTATCGAAACTAATCAACTCCATTACGAGTAGCAAAGAAAACCTAACCAAAACTGACGATGATGGCTTGGGACCGACCAAATTCACCCGTAGTCGTTCTATGATATTGCTAAGAAGAACAAATCGACGTAGTTTGATTGAGCCACAATTAGAACAATTATCAGAGGAAGCTGAAAAATCAAGTGATCCAACTTCGCCTGCCTCGCCACGTAAAAATTCCTTAGAACCAACTGAACACATACTGAACATAACGGACACTTCGGCTAACGCACAAGTAACGGATAAAACGCCACAACGTGACGACAACAGACCCTTACATGCTTCAACACCATATGAAGAAGTTGAGTTGAGACGAAAACCTTCACTCGTAAGCCTAACACCAAGTGAAGGGTACAATCCTCAACTTAACTTTCAAAAGAGGCGTTCCAATACATTAATTAGTTCATTTAAGTCAACTTTTGCTGGTCTAACAAGCGAAAAAAAGAAACCAGAAAAATGTAATCCCAGATGGAGTGCGTCATTACAATCATTGCAAGCTATCGACAATATGGTCAGTTATGAGAATATGTCCTTTATTGACTATGACAAATTTAACGGCTATGAAAAGCAATTGGAAAAGCGGCTTTCCACGATTAGTCTGATGGGTAACGATGCAGACATTAGTCAGCAGAGTAGTAATGCTGTAGCTGCGACACCATTATTACCACTACCCACTTCACCATCATATACAAATCTAAATATTAGTATACCAACTCCGCAGACTGTTGTGCGACGACGTAAAACTAGTGCAACGCAAAAATTGTCTCGGCACAATAGTGATTGTCGTAACTCAAATTTCGATACCGCAAATTATGAACATAATTTAGATAAACTTCGTAAAGTTTATCGTTTTAGTTTAGATTCGCGTAAACTTGAACTTTTAAATGATATGTCGCGAAAATCATTTATATTTGATGAATCCTCAAAACATATCGTGGATGTACTTAATCTGGAAGTTGGATCATTGGACAAAAGTAAACATATACGTAAAACTAAACAAGTTGGCGCAGATGCTGTGGATAGTAATGGAGTAATAAAGGTAAGTTCAGATTGAATTTAAATCTAACTAAAAAGGGTGCAAAAAAACAGATTTTGTAGTACATATCCAAAAATGTGCTTCCATAATGATTGCTTATTATTATTATGATTATGATTATGATTATGATTATGATTATGATTATGATTATGATTATGATTATGATTATGATTATGATTATGATTATGACTATGATTATGATTATGATTATGATTATGATTATGATTATGATTATGATTATGATTATGATTATGATTATGATTATGATTATGATTATGATTATGATTATATTATGATTATATTATGACTATGCTATGATTATGATTATGATATGATTATGATTATGATTATGATTATGATTATGATTATGATTATGATTATGATTATGATTATGATTATGATTATTATTATGATTATGGTTATAATTATAATTATGATAATGAACGCTGCGTGTGTCGCTACATCATAAATTATGAATGGGTTTAAATTTAATATATACCAATTTTTTATAATTTAATCGTTTGTATTATATTTTCATACAAAAGTTTCCTTAAAATTGAATTTTTGATGTAAATTGATACAGGAACTACCAAAGTAACACGTTTTATATGTACCATAAGATTCTGAAGGTTTTTTTGGATTGTAATTTATTTTTAGATATAATCCCTACTGTTATAATTGGCATTGTAAATTTTGACTGTAAATAAAAATATTTTAGGTTCTGCCTCTTTATGAAGAGATTAAATAGTACCAATATCAGGGAGATCGATTTGATAGTTTAGAAAAAACTGAATTTTAACAATTATAATTAATTAACAATTAAAATTAAAATATTGAAATCGAAATATAAATACTTAGAACCTAAATATTGAACCTAAATAAAAATGATGTAACATATATGGGGTCTCTTTATATACAGACTTTGTAGAAAAAAATTTAATGCAACAAAAAGGACTTCTTAACTTCTTAAAAATTGTTTACAGAATTTTTATTTATAATGAGATAGTGAATAAACTTTAAGTTGTGCTTACAAATATCGTATTTAAAATTAAATAGAAGGTATATTTTTCAATAAGTTCCTTTATCAATAAACAAATAAACACCTGTCTTCGAAAAGATTCCTTAAAGCAAAACTGAAATATGATTATTTCAAATATTATTAAAACCAAGTTTTTAATAAAAAAAACCCTTTTTGTTTTACTTTTTTCTTTTAAAGAAAATTTCTTTTAAAAGAAAACAAAAGAATATTTCTTTTTAATGTTTATTTTTTTGTTGAATGTGACGCCTCTTGACGGAAAGAAACTAGAAGGGCTCCAACTGTAATGAAGAACATCAAAAATTTGATTAATTTAATAAAATTTGGCTGACAAATTCAACAAATTGAAAGCTTGTAGAGTTGCCTATTTTAATTTTAAAAATGATCGAGGATCATTTCTTTTTTTTTCGGAGCACGTTTTCACTGAATTGTGTGATTTTTCCCAATTTTCTACTTGTTCTTTAATTTTGTCAATGATATTCTCGACAGTGGAGTGATCTATATATTTTTCAAGTAGTGATAATAAGTGATATCTCTCTCCAAATAATTTACATTGAACTATTTGATTTTTATTGGAATCTTAAATTAAAGAGACATGAATGGATTTAATTTGTTTAGGCTAACATAGAGACTATAGCGTAGGAGTAGCACAATAGATATCACTTCAAATCAAAATTATATTTACAAAAAAATATTTATGATGGGATCTGAAACTGCTTTTTCACACAACAATTTTATTTGCAAAGAGTAATGATCTAGGTTTAATCTTTTAGATATTGCCATTTTATGAAAAAAATAGCGACAAAATTATTTTAAGACTTATTTAATGCTGTTATTAGTGACTTATCCAACAATTCTTGTAATGAGCTTTTTCCTTTTTTTTCTAACCAAATTTTATATATCAAAAATTGATTTAAATTTTAAAGTTAAATTTTATTTAAAGATTAGATCTAGACTTTAGGTTTTAAATAGTGTCTCTTATAAAAGAAATGCTGCCAAACCTATTTAGTGCAGTTATAACTTACTTCTCAAATACCCAACGTAATGTTTTGTTTCTTTTTCCATACAAACAAAATATTTCTTTTTTACTTTTTGAGTACAAAATATAACTTTAAAGGTTAAATTAAAATTTAAATTAAACTCTTAAATTTTTAGATGTTGCCTTATAACAAAAAAAAAAATACTGAAACCTATATAGTTCGGTTATAAATTATGCTTTCGTATATGTTGTTATATTATAAACAAAGATACATTATATAAATATATTATACTAAAGAAGATACTTATCAAACGTAAGGTACTGCTTTTCTTTTTACACACAAAATATGCAGTACAAAAATTTAAATAAATGTTTAAATGTTGAATTTATATTAAATTTTAAAATAAATATTTGCCTGAAATGATATATTGTTATCAAATAAATATATAAAGTACAAATATCTTCATAAAAAATAAACACAATCATTTTACAGTTTACTCCAATAATAATTTTATTTTATAAATAAATTTGTCTTAACTATTGATATTAAAATTATGCTGGTCTATTTTTATATATTTGTCATAATGTACGTTGGGGCTGAAGTAAACTGCAGCTTTTAATAGAAATTTTAAAAACTTTAGAAAAAAAATGTATAAACGTTATAAACTAATTTGAACTAAAATAATGTGTTATTAATAAATGTATTATTTATTCGTTGTTTGGCAAGTAGTCCTTGCAAGAACTATTTTCGTACGGAATTACTTAAATTGTTGAGTGTATTCAGTATCGCCTTTAGAGAAGTGGATACAAGCCACAACAGTATCGCCAAGATACAAAGCACCCTCAATTACACAGAGCGCACCCAAAGCAATACCCACTTGTCGTTCTGAATTGACATATAAGAAATCTTCATCTGACATATAACCATTCCAGTAGTGTAGAGCAACGCCACCAACAAATATCCATAAACAAGTACCAACCACATTCATTATAGTGTCGGAGAGTTCACTGAAATATAAAGTCAGATATGTTAAAAAAATATGTATAAATTTTTTAGATAAAATTGCTTACCGGTTATGTTTAGTAGTACCAAAGAAGAAGGCTACAGTATGTACACAGGTGTAAACGAGATAGCCTACGATTACACCAGAAGCGACTATTTCACAACCAGCACTCTTCTCCTCATTCAGATTCCATGTGCCACCGACACCCAAAAATGTGCCACCATTACCGATGCAGTATAAAATCAAGATAACCAAATTTATGATCTGCATTATAATAATGAAAAAGGAAAAATATAATAAAAATTTAATTTTAAAATGGGTTTTTAGTAGATTTTCATAATATCTGTAATTTTAATAATTACTTAAGAATTTTTTTATTTTTTTCCGATTTTTTATAACTCGAAACATTTTGCCACTCCCAATTGCGACATTTTTTAAATAATCGTACCCGTGTTTTTATCTTTCACATTGCGATTTTTGTGGTTCACTTGGTTTGTAATTTCTACTTTAGCATGAGTAATTGTTTTTTTGTTTGTTTTATAAATAAATATCCATTCATTCCAATAAATTTCAGTGCTTTTGGTATGACTACTAAGGTTTGATAAGAAATATTATCACTAAGTAGCAATTTTTCAAATTAATTTATAAAATTAAATTATTTTCATTAAATTTCATTAGATATGTTCTGCGCGACACTTTCAATATAGTTTTTAAGTTTGAATATCAAATAAAATATATTTTTTTGCAATTCATTATAAATAATATAATTTTATATAAATAAAATTAACAGAAAAAAATTTTACTTTTAAATGTTTTCACTACCGGAGATTCTAAAGGAAGTTCCGCTAAAAGGTTTATTACAGCTAACATTGAATTTATTCTTAAACATTCTTATTAACAAATTCATTCGATTTTATTGATTTTCACTAAATTTTATTATTTACTATATTAAGATCGTTTCTCTATATATATAATTTTATAATGATCATGCATTATCTTGGTACAAGATAAGCCCATAGCACCTACCAACTTCATTCCCTTGATGAAAATTGAACCAATCGTTTCTATAGACACCATTTTTGCTGTTTTTTTTTTGTTCACTTAATTTTTTAATTAAAATTTAAACAAAAATAAGTTTGTTTAGATATATTTTTATAATACAATTAGTATTATTAAGGCTTAATAAATTTTTATTTATATTTATTTGATATTATCTGTGGCTCACAAACTTTACTTGAAAAAAAGAAAAATTCGTTACTTCGTCGTCGTTCGTTAACTGAAATTGAATATTATGGAAAAAATTTAAAAGGGCGTAGAAACTACAAAATATTTTGTAGCTTTTGCAATCCTCACAGTGCAGATGATAAGATTAGATAAGACATGAGTATTCCAATAAAGCAAAGTGCTTCGATAACAGGTGAAATTGTAATTTGTATCTGTATTGGTCGTTGGTCGTTCCTAAAATGGGTTACTAATTGTTTATATTATTTTTTTTAATATGATTTTGTACAGTTTTCTTATCAAACTTAACTAAGTTTATTTTGTGCTTTTGAATTTGTATATTTCGTAAAATTATTTTTATTAACATTCTGTAGTAAAATTTTGATAAAATATTAAAGTTTTTATCTTTTTGATTGTATTGCGCTTGCTCTGTGGGTTTATTTATTCAGTTTTATTTTCAAAATTTTGTATCTATAATTATTCTTTTACCTGTATTCAACATACACATATTTTTATAATTATAATTTTTTTTTTTTTTTGGTTTTATGAAACCTCAATGCGAATAATTCAAGTCCGCCAAATGCTTGGTTACGTCATTTTGAGTTCTTTGAATAAAGAATGCGTTGTTCCAGTCAAGATTTTTACAATATGAATTCCTGTAGTTTTTATTTTGATAAGAACATACTGAACTCAAAACTTAATTTTTCCGTATTACAGAGAGTTATGGTATTTTTAATATGTTGAATCATTAAATACTAACTAATTCTTACATAGTTTTTACTATGTGAAACCCTAGTTAAACTTCATGTTGCAGTAAAACATCCAAGAAAAAAATGCAAGAATTAATAAAATTTTGTGCTGTATATTTGTATTGTTAGTACTAACAATATTGTTAGAAAGCAATATTTTTGCAGTGCTGGGAAAATATTTTTATTTTTAAGCTGTTTCGAGTATTGGTAAATACTCATCATTAGTGGTCTTGAAAATAATTCTTGTATTTAATTATTCGTTATAATAACTATTATAATTTTTTGAAACTACAATTACCAGAGATTGAAATCGTGCCCTACCAATTAAGATGCTCAGAGTCAGCGTTCATTAGCCAATTGAACCAAAGCCGTACTTGACTTTTATGTTCGCACATTTTTCTGGAAGTAATTCGCTGTGAAAGTTTATTAATAAATTCACTTGCTGTGTTATATTAGAGTAACTATCTTGAGTTGCATATTAATATTTCACTTCCAGCATCGTTGTCAGACTACAGGCCACAGGCTTTTTCACACAAACATTCAAACCATTTATATAGAATGACATTAGAGTCTACGTCATTAGTATTAAAACTACATACTTATGTTTTGGTAGGTAAAAGTATAATACATTGTGACCGAAAAGTTTTCGGAAATTCTCATTTAAAATTCGCGCGCTGTATATTTTTCGATATTTTAAGTTTATGTAGTTTGGCAGCACTGTCTTTAATTACTATGCCAAAAATGAGCGCGATCTGTCAGACAGTTCGTTTACGGCAGCTGTTGAAACCAGTTCACCTCAGTAGTGCGTTGCGAAAAAAAACAATGGAAAAAAATATTGAACAAAGAGTTTGCATCAAATTTTGTTTTTCGAACGAAATTTCGTGTGCAGAATCGTTGCGAATGCTACAAAAGGCTTATGGGGAATCAGTTTTATCGAAAACTCAAGTTTATGAGTGGTACAAAGCCTTTCAGGACTGTCGTACGACCGTCGAAGACATGCCGCGTTCTGGACGACCTTCGACCTCTACCACCGACGAAAACATTGAAAAGGCAAAGGAAATCGTGTTCAAAAATCCTCATGTGAGTGTTAGAGAGATAGCACGAGAGCTAGGCATCGGTCGTGAGATGGCTCGTTTGATTTTGGTGGACAATTTGTGTATGCGACGTGTCAACGCTCGGCTTGTTCCGATTCACCTCAATTTGTTCAACATTATCAACGATTTTAAGGCCAAAAATTCAATAAATACCATCGAACAGCCACCGTATTCACCTGATCTTGCACCGTGTGACTTTTTCCTGTTTCCCAAACTCAAATTACCACTCAGAGGAACGCGTTTTGAATCCATAGAAGACGTAAAACAGAATTCGCAGAGGGAACTCAAAGCCATACCGGAAAGCGCCTATAAAAAATGTTTTGATGATTGGAAGAAACGTTGGCATTTATGTATCGCTTCTAATGGAGCATATTTTGAAGGAGATAAAATAAATATTGATGAAGGTTAAGAATTTTGCGTTTTATTTAAAATTTCCGGAAACTTTTCGGTCACAATGTAAGTATATTTTTTTTCTGTTAGTTGTAAAAAAATGGAAGGAACTTAATTTATGTATTACTTCTCAGTTCATCCGACCTGCCTATAACAACAACAGATTCTGAAAACTTATTAACAAGGAACCCATGAACACTGTAACGCTTACTTCTCTCTTCTCTGGTTACTGGTGTATACGAACCCACCGCATAAATACTGCGAGACGTACTGCAGTTTTCTCCATTTACTGGTGTATAATACTTTGGTTTCCAGAATAGACCGGTTTTTAGGAAAGTATTTCTTCATAGTTTGTGTACTGTGTATCGGTAAAGACGACATATGTGTTAAGTTGCCTAATTCAAAGTAACGGATCTAGTTTTTATCTCTAGGTTTATTGCAAGCAATATTAGAGTTGTATATAGTCGCTAGTTGTTGGAACCGTCACTCTGTTTCATTTTTTGAGTTATCATATAACATATTGCAAATAATTGTTCAAATTTTTGAATATTCGCAAGCACTTCATATAAGTAGCTTATACCGTACTTATTCGGTGTTAAAATTAAAATTGATAATATTATTTCTAAAAGGTTTTTACTTTATGTAGCAATATTGATTTAGTTTTAGAAATGTTAAAAATGTATGACTATAAAAGATAATCATTTTCAGCTCAATTCTGCAGAAGAAAGGTCTTTATTGACGAATGGAAGAATTAGTTCCTTCGATTTACAGCTATCTCAAATATACCAAAAATTATATTATTATCTATTAATTAACTGGAGTCAAATTTTAGACGAGTTGATTCCACAATTAAGTTGTGATTATGTTGTGACGAAGTAAAGTACTCTATGAGTTCGGTTCAGTAATGACAGCAGTTTATCTTATTAAAGAAAATCTTTAACATATCAGTTTAAACACTGCTTGACAATTGGGATAGTGATGTGCCTTTCAACTATTGGAGAGATAAGGTTATTTCTTTAAAGACTGGTTAAAAAATTGAAAATCTAATATTTCATATTGTTTATAAGTACCAAGTGTAGTTCAAAGTTGTGTTTATATAAGCTATTATCTTAACTAAAAGAAACGAAGACCATGAATACAATTATTTAACAATGATATTTAATCAATATTATTACTTTGGAATTTAAAATCTGAAATGCACATTAATACGATCAAGACAAATTTCTTTATTTTTATTGTAGAGTCTAATGAAATTAGATGTGAATATCATATAGTTACATATTTGTGTGAAAGAAAAACGTGACTCAGAAAAATAGTTGTTCTGAAAATATTTTCTCTAAAAGATAAAGTTATATTTAAAGATATTTATTTCATTTCATTTTCAAAGTAATATAAATTAATTTATGTGTAAACTTTAATTTAACAATTTCCATTAAATTTGCTTTAAAATGAAATATAAATTTTTTAACTTGGCGTTACATTTCATTAATAAGTTTATATTTTGTATAACGTTCAAAACAAATAAATTGTTTTAATGTATACAGTTTTTAATTTACTGTTTGTTTTATTAAATATTTTGACAATCATTCAAAATATTTTCTTCACACTGCCTGACACCCACAACAAAAAATGAAACAAAACTGACTACGCGGCATAAATTCATTAAAACGCCAGATACAATTCAAAGCAGTTAATTAAACTCTAACCGGCGTGAATGGAATTGTTTAGTAAACTTTAATTATAATAATTCAAAATAATATATCGTACAGCAAAAAAAAAAAATCTATATAAAAAAGATTTTAAAACGTTACTCAATTGAATGTGTCACGAAATATGTTTACTCGTTCGTCGTTTACTGAATCTGAATGCAGAGAGAGTGTAAAATAAAATTGTCTGTAAAATTCAGTTTTAATTTTTAAGATACATTTAAGTATATAGAAGTACATCTCAAAATGTCAATAAGCGAATGTATGCAAATAGTAGAAATATTGTTTTGAAAAATTCAAATTAAAACGTAGAATGCAATTTGCTGACGTGAGTTTAAGATGCATCTGCGAATAAAATGTAAATTACTTGTAGACGGCAAGCTAATTAGCCTTAAGAAAATACAGATGACTTAGATACTTTTGGTTGATAGCACAAATTAGCTTTATTAAGAAATATGTGTTACTATATATAATTCTGTATATATCAGATAATATGTGGTGCGTTCTAAAAATTAAAACTTATAAAGATTTATGTTTGGAATTATATACAAAAATATTATTCAGTACATTGCGATATTGTATTGTTAGCGTTTTATAGAACGTCATATATTTTTACTTTTATAATAATTTTTAATATTCTTTTGAAAAGTTGATAGTTTCTATCAAGTTTCTCTGATAGTTTATATCAATTTCCAGCGCAAACTATTATTCTTAACCAACAAATGAATTGCAAGCAGCATGAGTGTAAGTCCTCGAAAATTTTATCCAAAAACTAATAACGATTTTCTTTTAAATATAATCACATTTGTATTTTTTTATACCAACTTTGTAACCCGTAATCTTGAACGTCTCAAAATAAAATATGAAGTATCTTTACCTTAGCATAAAATTGTGAAGATAGTAAAACTTCTTGAAATGTCCGCTCTCTTTCATAGTAGTGTTACGTTAAACTGGTCGTCAGGTTTCTAAAGCGTTGACTGAAAACATCCGTTGAC